ATGAGGTCACATTTGCACTAAGTTGCCCAGGCCTGCGCTCAAGCAATCCTCCCACCTCTGCCTCCCAAGTCGCTGGGACTACAGGTGTGTGCCATTAAAGAAACACAGTAGTTGACTGCAATTATTATACACTGTCAATACTTTTTTTTTTTTTTTTTCAAGAGATGAGGTCACATTTGCACTAAGTTGCCCAGGCCTGCGCTCAAGCAATCCTCCCACCTCTGCCTCCCAAGTCGCTGGGACTACAGGTGTGTGCCATCGAATCCAGCTTTTGAGGTTTTAATTTTTATAAGTCATATTTATTACACTTGTAATAGGACAACAAAAAAATACCTTTTTTGTAAGAAAAAATGCTTTCTGTAGAGAAAATAAAGATTTTAAAAGCTTACCTTGTAGTCGTCTACTATAGATTTCTACAATCCTAGAAAAGAAAGAATTGTTTAAGTTAATCATAAATTGTTTGAAGTGAAGTTGGTAAGACCTCCTCATAAGACAAAAAGGACTTTGTTGAAGTAACAGTGGGGTGCAGGCAGGAGACACAGCTTACGGGAAGAGGACAGAAAGACCCGAGTGTCGCAGGGAAACGCAGTCTAAAGGAGACCACCAAGCACCACAGAGTGGTCCTTCCTTCCATCCTCAGAGAGAAGTAATCAGTCTCCTAAGTGTAACTTTCACTTAGGAAAAACAGAGCTGAGTACCAAAATTTTAAAGCTCCCAAGTCATCAATTTTATGCCATGTCTCAAGTGTTCTAATTAAACATATTGTTTTATCAGAGCTTAAAATTCAAGTTAAAAATAAAAAGACCATTTGTTAATTAACAGCACACCATGGTCAACTACTACATCAACTAAACTGATTAGGGTAATCAGGTTAGAGCTGATTAGACTTCTTCAGACAGCTCTTCATGAGACAGGTTTATGTAAGTACTTAGTATGATTAACCCCCCAAAAATAAAAGCCTCCTGATCTTAGCTTAGAACACAATCTGTCAACTGATGAATTTTTGCCTTTCAACATCTCTCTATTTATGAAATGTAAAGATGGCCATGGGACTTACCCATCTGAGGATGACAATTCATGCTGAGGGCCTTTTCTTTAAAATGTGGCCTTTTAGTCATGAATTTGGACTCAATCTAAGGATCATCTCCCCTAGGAGGCATTTTAGGGCTGTTCCCCTCACTATGCCCCTCAGATAGAACTGGGAACTGGCTCCTTTTTACCCAATAATGTCAGAAACAGACAGGCATGCCCCCCTGTCTACCACTCAACCAACAGCACCCTGAAGGCAGGAGCCATCCTAATTCTCCTTTGTGTCCCCAGTAGGTATATGATATTGAAGGGATATAACTATATTATTTCATTTTGAATGAAAACCTGAGAAAGGATGGTTTTTCAAGCTCCTAGATGGGAGCTCTGTCATATTTCTTACTAGCTCAAATTTCTGTATCTATTACTTCTGATAGTTTTTCTGGTGATTAATCTGTTACAGAAGTAGGAGATGCCATTGATTTAGAAGTTAGTAATGTCTTCCTTCTCATATTCATCATTTCTTTTTCTTGAGTAGAATTTCGGGTACAGCATTAGATAATAGTGGTCATATCGGGCATCCATGTTTTGCTTTAATATTTCACCATCACCCACGGTGCCTGCCTGCTTCTGGCAGACAGCTGTTCTCATTCCAGGAGGACCACTCATGCGATTTTTAATGCCTGCCTACTATGTACATGGTTATGTGGCGAACATGCTCCCTGTGCTCAGAGAGCTTATAATTTATTCCTAGTTTATGAGTTTTCTTTTTCAAGTAAAGAGTAGTTGTTGAACTTATGTCTTTTGAGCATTTCATATAGCTTCCCTGAATAAAAAAAAAGTATTTTGCTCTCATTCTTGAAAGATAATTTGTTGAGAGGTATTTCTTGGGAACAGAATTTTGGTTTTACACTGATCTGACTTTCAATACTGCCATAGGCAAAGCAGTTGTCAGTCTAACTGCTGTCACCTTGTAGGTAGTCAATCGATGTTTTTCTCTGTGGCTGCTTTATGTTAACTTGTATTTTAAAAGCGTACTCTACAATTTACTATGTTGTGTTACATAGACATTTAATTTTATTTGACTTATTTGGGATTTATTTGGCTTCCTGAATCTGAAGACTGATATTTTGCATGTGTTCTGGAAACTTTTTCAGCCAATGTCTTCTCTAATATTGCATCTACCACAGTGCCTCTGTTATCTCCAGGAATTGCAATTAAGGGCATATTTTACCTTCCCACTCTTCCATGTTTCTTAAATTCTCATTCATATTCTCCACCTGCCTTTGTGTTGCATTCTTCACAGTATCTTCAGACCTTTCTTCCCATTCACCACATTTTCAGCTGTGCCTCATCTATGTAAATGAGCATATTGGGCTTCAGTTTCATTTATCACTTTTCTTTTTATTTCTAGAAGTTACATTTGGTCCTTTTTCCAATCTGCCTGGCTAATTCCGAAAGTTTCTTATTCCTTTGTCAAACTTTCCATACTCTTATTTTTTAATAAACAGTAAGTCCTCACTTAGTGTTGTCAGTAAGTTCTTGGAAACTGTGACTTTAAGCGAAAGGACGTGTAATGAAACCAATTTTACCCTAGGCTAATTGATACAAACGAGTTAAGTTCCTACAGCATGTTTCTGGTCACAAAAACATCACCAAACTTCTAAATAAAGACCAAAACACCTCTAACATTAAACACTGAAATAAATGCAAGCTATACATCATTTAAGAAAGATTAATACAAATAAGTCATCCAGTCCAGGGTTTCGGGTGGCTGGACACTCTCCCAGCAGCTATGGGTACAAGGCAGAACACAGCCCCGGACGGGGACACTATTCTGTCTCGGGGCGCACTCACACACACCCACACTCAGACTGGGACCACGTAGACGTGCCAGTTCACCTAACGTGCACATCTTTGGGATGTGGAAGGAATCCAGAGTACCCAGAGAAAACCCACGCAGACATGGGGAGAATGTGCAAACTCCACACGGACAGTGGCCCTGGCTGGGAAGTGATTTTTTTCCTAGAATGTTATAATGAAACGATGTTGAACAAAACAACTTTACTCCAGAACCCGCTGTACGTTATTTTGCTTATTTTCTTTTACTTTTGGTGAACTCATGCTTCTTGGAAATTCATTTGTGGGAATTCTTTGAAGCCTGGATAAACGTTCATCAGAGAACAAGCACTTGTTTCCGCTAGCTTCCTGGAAGGATACCCCTTTGGGGCCATTTTAAACTAAAATTATTGTTTTTTAAAGGCCACATAGGTAATGATAATTCTGACCCCAAACCTTGTGAATGTGTATATGAGTTATTTTTTCTTTCTCCTGCTCTTTCCAGAAGAGCTAGCAGGTAAGTCTGCGATTTGGGATGGGGATAGGGAGCACAGAGCCCAGATTTTGGCTCTAGTGCTAATTTCTATGGATTCTCACCAGAATGGCCTTATGTTTCCCCCACTGTGTGAAAAGCACAAATACATTATATCTTGGGATGCTGTGCCAGCAGGGATATTGTTACAATTTAGTTCATTACATTCAGAATCTGTAGCTGTCAATTTTAATCTAAACTATTCTTACATTCTCGGAGTAAACCTCCCTGGGTCATGTTGAAAATAGTACTTCTACTAGCCCATTAGAGTACAGTTTTTTTGACATTTAGCATTCTTATGACTACATTTAAAAGTGAAGTTAGTCTATAATTTTTTTAATGCTGGCTTTATCAGGCTTTGCTATCAGGAACAGGCAGCTTGATCAAATTAATTGCATAGTTTTACAGGTTTTTCTATGCTCTTGAATTATTTATATACAGGGAATTAATGGTTACTTGAAAATTAGAAAAAATGCCTATAAAATTGACTGGGTCCAGGTCCTTCCCCCCGACCCCAAAACATTAATTTGACTTCTTCTGATGATTATTAATGTATGTGGGTTTTCTAACTCTTGGTACATTCCCTTCTCTCCCCATGTTTTTTTTTAAAAAACTCATTCACAAAGATTCTTTACGTTTTTAAAGCATATTTTTAGTTACATATTCTGTCATTCCTAGATATCAGTTAGATTTTTCCCAGCAATCTATGATATAACATTTCTAACTTTTGGATTTCTTATTTCTATTATTTTGGTTTTTCTAAATTATTCTATAATAAAGAACTTGAACTTTATCTTAAAAGCCATGGGGAGCCATAGAAGGAACAGCATGATTAAATTCATACCCTGGAAAGAACATCCCAGCAGCATCTGAGAGCAGATTTAAGGACCCTAAGAGATTAGAGGCAGGGAGGAGTCAAGAGCTTAACACACAGTCCAGGAAGAAGATAAGAAAGGCCCAGCGGACAGTGGCGGGCAGCAAGGGCAGCGAGGCGGCAGCATGGGAACAGGAAACAGGCAGGAATAGGGTGACCTGGGCAGTGAGCACACACAGCGGGGGATGGGTTCCTCCTCACGCAGGGCCCCAAAATGCATTCCAGATGGAGCAAAGATTTAAATATGAAAACATGGTCATACAAATTCCAAAAAAAAAAAAAACCCAAAACAAGTTTATAACTACAGAGTAGTTTTACTACTACTTCTTTATGGAAAAATAATACAATAACACAAATTCAAAAGACAAACCACTTTAACATTCAAAGAGCTTGGGCAAATCAGGAATAAAAAGGTAAGCTACCCAGTGGAAAAATTAGCACCAGAGCTAAAAACAGGAAGTTTCTGAAAAGATTCAACCTGGCCCTATTAAAGAAATGAAAATTAAAACAATAGATACCATTTTTCACTTATCAATTTGGCAAAGATTTAAAAGTGTGATGAAACCTACTGTTGACAAAAGTGTATAGAAACACACACCCTTTACCTATTATTAGAGTATAAATTGGAGTGGTCTTTTTAGAGAGCAATTTGGTAATATCAAAAATTCAGCTCCCTTTAACCCAGCAAGTTCTACTCTAGTAATTTATCTTACAGGTAGATTCAAAGCATAAAAAGATGATATATAAAAATTTGCTCACCAAGGCACTTTTCTCCTTTTTTGACAATAGTCTCAAACTACAAACTATACTTATCTACATCGAACACTGGTTGAATGAATTATGTTAATCTGAGAAATACTAGATAGCCATTAAAAGGAACTTGAACTCTTGAGACTAAAAGATGTCCAAGAAACTTCAAGGTATTTTACATTAAAAAAAAAAAAAGTTGTAGTAGAGAATATAAGTATGATCTTATGTGTGTGTTTGCATAGAACATAGAAATTCTCCAGAAGGATAGTGAAAGAAATCTCTAGTTTTAACTCTAGGGAATGGAAATAGGAAAGAAAAGCTTTCACTTCATTCAATCACTTGTTTTTGGGTTTTTTGTTTTGTTTTTTCTGGTGTTTTTTGTTTTGTTTTGTTTTGTTTTGAGACAGGGTCTGGCTCTGTTGTCCTGGGCTAGAGTGCAGTAGCACTGCAATCTGAAACTTCTGGGCTCGAGCCATCTGCCTGTCTCAGCCTCCTGAGTAGCTGGGACTACAAGCGTGTGCCACCATGCCCGGCTAATTTTTTTTAAATTTTTTGTAGAGACAGGGTCTCACCATATTGCTCAGGCCGGTCTCGAAATCCTGTGCTCAAGCAATCCTACCACCTCAGCCTCCCAAAGTGTCAGGATTACAGATGTAAGCCACTGTGCCTGGCCACCCATTTGTACTTAAGTTTAACTGGTAAGTATATTACTTTTATACTAAAGGAAAAAAGAACACTCCCTCTGTACTCGAACGCCCAGCCTACCTTTTAACCACCTCCCAGTCACCCTTGCCTAAGTCAATCTGGCCCATCCCCTGGAACTCTCTTATTTGCCTTTGCTCATGCATTAACTATACGTAGAGGCGTTTCTCCCCCATTTAGAATTCTGCTTCTCCCTCCACCTTTGGGTCTCTCCAAGCCTGCCTGGCCATAGCCATTGTGGCTCCTCTGAACTTGGAAGTCCAAAGCAGGCATTTCTCTAGCACCTGCTGCCTCAGACTGTGTGTCCCCTGGGGGTGGTTGCTGTGTCCTGCTTCTCTCCAGCCGCTATAGTAGCTGGCATAGTGCCCTTTCCCAGTAGCTGCTCAATAAAGAGATCAACCATGGCTGCCCCAAGACGCCACAACGCTAAGATTTAATTATATTCACTCAATTATTCTAAGGCAAGAAAATGAACATGTTCGTGGTTTTTCAGCAACAAAAGGAATTTCTATTCAAACTAACTTTATTCTAGAATTCTACTAGAGTTGAACCAGATCAACTCACTTCTGGCATTTTCTTGTTACTTAAGGCTTTACTGTTTGATATTTGACTTCACTGGCACCGAAAGGTCATTCATTTAAAGGCAAGCATATAACAAACTTCGCACAAGATTAAAATGAGCAGTGAAGTTTTGCTAAGACATTCAGCTTTCCTTATTTCTCTTCGTTCCCTAAATACCCTTACTTCTTATAAGGAATAAACAGTTGCATAAAATCTTAGTCTTCTTTCTATTCTATTTAATAGACCCTTTATTCAAATTTTTTACAAAATATCTAGAAGTAACATACACTCGGCTCTTTGGCTTAGTGTTATGTTTTATTCTTAAATTTTAATCCTATTAGTATAAGAACAAATTCCCATGCTAATAATCAACTCCTTTGTATTGTTTCATAAAAGCTTAATTATTTGAGATCTTTTCCTTTCACCAGGAAATAACCAAGATTCTTTCCTTCTACCAACAAGTTACCATTTATTCCATGATCTTACTGAGTCACTCTAGGGGCCATCTCCCATAAAGTGCTAATCACGGTCAACACAGTGTGATCTTCTAGAGAATGTTTACATTAAGACCAAGGCCTAACATGATCTACCAAGCTTTTTTATAATATGAAAACTATCCACCTTTCACATATGGACAGTCTGTTACAGGCCCTAGAGTTGCCAGAATTTCTAAATGGGAAAGGTGTAGGGTTGGCAATCTTGCTGGAAGGAAGGGCACCAGGGGACTGGAGCTACATACGGCTATGTCTGCACAGCAGGCACACTGATTTTACTCAGACTGTATGTTATCAAACAGTGAGAATAACTACTTTTAGTAAAGATGCTTTTATTCACAGTTGACATGAAACTGGCTTTACTTATTATTTGGGAATAAGTTACTGGGGAGGGAGTTGCTAATAAAAATTACATTAACAGTAATTACTCCAATCACCATCACTACCCTTTCTCAGCCACTTTTTGGCACTGCTGCCAGAGACAGATCACTGCAGGAAGCCACGATGTTCCTGCACTTGTGTTAAGAGGCTTACTGGGCCTCTTGAGATGGCTCAAGTCTGTAATCCTAGCACTTTGGGAGGCCGAGGTGGGAGGATTGCTTGAGGTCAGGAGTTAGAGACCAGCCTGAGCAAAAGTGAAATGCTGTCTCTACAAAAAATAGGAAAATTAGCCACGTGTGGTGGTGCACGCCTGTAGTCCCAGCTCCTCTGGAGGCTGAGGCTGAGGCAGGAGGATCACTTCTTGAGCCCAGGTGGAAGTTGCCGTGAGCTAGGCTGATGCACTCTAGCTGGCACGACAAAGCGAGACTCTGTCTTGTGGGGTGGGGGAGAACTTTACTGCAGTGAAGCAATTAGAGCTATATTCTTTCATGGTGCCACATAGCCCTGTCTGGCAGCAAGGCTGTTGTGCAGGAATGAGGTCAGAGACTGGGGGAAGTTAAATTTCTCTCTTCTACCCACTTTCTCCTCAATCCCTACAGGAAATAAATGAGAAAATGGGAGTGAAATCAAAGTAAAAGGAACAGCTGTGGAGGGCAGCTGTCAGATTGCTGGGGTGGTTTTTACAGATTCCAACACAGAACTGAAAAAGACTGGGATCCCCATTTCAGAACTGTGGTGAATCCCAGTGCCTAAGTAGAGAAGGAGCAAAACACAGAGCCATAGAATAGTCAATTGGTTGCAGAGAATCATGTCTTCCGATTGTGATACGGTCACTATAACCTCAATCAAGTTATTCAAACTTAGCGTGGTTATTTTCTTAAAAAGGAGGGGAGACGCTCACTGTATGTTCCTCACCTTCCCCTTCATTTATTCTTAACTCTCTCGACACACACACGCATGCGCATACACACACCCTTCCCTCCCCTTGTATTTCCCGTCACCCAAAATACACTAACTCTATACAATGAAATTACAACAAAAAAGGATATTTAAGGACAATAAAATATTGCTGGCTGGAGTCTACCAGAGATACTGGAACACAAACCCTCACGTTGACTTCCGATTAAACATAGATGCCCATGCATGCATATCACCTCTCCTTGCTAAAACTCAAATAAAAATGGGAGCAAAGGAATTTTTTTTCAAAGGCATGAACCCACCGGATAAAGAATGGAAAAGAAGAGTATAGCAGGAAAGAGAGAAATAAGAGAGAGAAGAGTGAGCGTTGTCTTAGAACACAGCTGAGCAAAGCCACAAAGGCACAGGCTTATGTTTGCAGAGGCAAAGAACCTAGATGTGAACTGACTGGCCGCCTCACTGAAGAGATGCCTGGAGGCACCCAGGCATGGAGGGAGGCAGGATGGAGGCTGGGGGCCCCACATGGAGGTTTGATTAAAAGTCTGAAAACAGTGCTGTGCAGTTAGACCCCTGCCCACGCTTCTTCTCCCACCCCTCACTGTTAGCTAAAGCCCCTTTCAAGGACAGGGCTGCACTGAAGGTTCTCTCCAGTCAAGGCTGTGGCAGTAGGAGGGGTGGGATGTGGCGGACAGGCAGGTGATGGGAGATGAGAAGGCAGCGGTATCTGTGTTTCAGACCCTCTCAGTCTGTTAGCATCTCTGCAACTATAAATGTTCAGTTGCAGTGCGGCTTCCAACTTAGATCCATACTGGTGGAGAGAGAAAGCCTGATGCGACACACAGGGGCAGGTCCTGTAAACCTGTTTTCCTATTCACCACGCAGTCATACCTACCTCGCAAGTTTGCTGAGGCCAAGGACTTGCTTGTTAGGAAGATAACCGATATGGACCTTCAGAGAAGAGACAAAAACCATGAGCTAAGTGAAAATACAGTGCTTCTCTGTGACAAAGTAAGGAAACATGGGAAGAATATGGTGTTCTTACACGTAGTATGTCACAATGACAGTGTATCTTTAAAACATCTATTATAGAAGCTTTAAGACTTAGAAAATGAAGTATTTATATGAGTATTTTTTAAATTAATAAGTGTAGTAAATATATACATGTCTGTGTGTATATGAGTCTATTAATCAAATGAAAAATTTTAAGTATGGTCATTCTAGGACCCTCACGTGTACCCAAACCTGCACATGCTCAAGTCCAGCAGAACTCCCACATAGAAAAAGTCTGCCCTCCAGACACATGAGTTTCACATTCCACAAATAACTGTATTTTCGATTTGTGTTTGGTTAGAATAAAACCATGTATGAGTGGACCCCTGCAGTTCAAACCCATGTTGTTGAAGGGTCAACTGTACAGCCCTGATATTTCCCTGTGAAGTTAACTCTTGACACAAATCTGAAAGTCTTTCCTCTAAGGAGGGGAAACATTCTCAAGCAAAGGCAAATGATCTTGCAGCCACATTAAAATGTATGCAGGAAAGCCTCCTTTAAATGGCAGAAACTGTAAATACAAATATTGCCATTCCACGAATCACAGCAGCTTTAAGAATCCCCCCGCGGAGCCCTGTAGCACAGAAGGTCTCTGTGCCCTTTTGTGTTCCATCTTCCTGGCAGGAGAAAAGGGGCACAGCTACCACTGTGGCTGGGCAAGAACCAACACCCTAAGAACCAAGTTCTTACAAGACCTACTATAAGGCAAAGCCATTTCTTTCCTCTTCAAAGGTACCAACTAATATCTAATATGTAAATGTAACCTCTTTTTGAGCCAAGTATTAAATATGAGAACACATTAGTTCTCTAAAAAGGCTAATAGAGTAAATGGTCATTTGTAGGCCATCAATTAACCTAATATAAAATTAGAGACTCATCTGTATCATGATTTGCCAATATTATTTCATTTGCTCATCTTTTACTGTACACTTGTAAAATTGATCTATGTTAGTACTTAGTGATTTTTTTCCCCATCAATTAGTGCTATGCTTTAGGAGTTGAGAATTCCATCTCATTGACTTTCTGTTTGGCAGGAGGAGAAAGTAAAGTAGCACCTGAATGTTGGATATTTCAAAGAACAATTAGAGTTAAAACTTTCCCATAGAGCCAAGGTCTTCTGTACCTCTTGAAATTTTGTATACTTATATGCAGAACTAGAATTTGTTTATTGTTTATACTATTTTTGGTCTTCCTTAAGATCCTAAGTCATTTAAATGTTCACTTTAGAAAATCATCACTAAATAATATATTTTAAAAACAAAATTAGCAAGAACACAAACACAGAGATAATCATAGCAGAAGGTAACAGGATACAACGGTCAGAGGCTGAGTATAGGATCAGTGCCTGGGTGTGGCCCCAGCTGGGCCACTAACACTCTACGTCCTCTTAGACAGATCATAGGCTTTTTGGGTGTAATTTTCTCACCTACAATAAAAGACAGAGATGAGTGCAAAGGTTCCCTCCTTATTAATTTTGGGATTGCCAGACACTGCGTGCCTCTTGATGTGATATAATAGGAAATCTTCAGCACTCCATAAACTACTTTTGTCAGAAATGTTTAGCCTTAATCTTATAAAGCTTTAGGTCTAATCTAGTTTATAGGAAATCCAGAGGTTGAATGGAACAAATCCAAAAGGTGGGCTACTCCACAGAACAACCGGCCTAGTCCCTTCAAGAAGATAATGTTATGACGGGGGTTAGGAGAGACTGTTTTAGAAGAAAAGACACTTAAAAGTCAGAACCAAATGCAATGCAAATACAAATGTGTGACTCTTAATTGGATTCCTGTTTAAACTAACCTACAGCAAAACATTTGAGACAACTGGAGAAATTTAAATGAGTTATTAGATGCTATTTAAGAATTACTGTTAATTTTGTTTGTGGCAGTGCTACTGTGGATAAGAAAATATTTTAGAGATGCATATTAATTGCTAGTGTGTGGAAGAAAATATTTTAGAGAGGCTGGGTGTGGTGGCTCATCCCTGTAATCCCAGCACTTTGTGGAGGCCAAGGTGGGAGGATCGCTTGAGACAGGAGTTTGAAACCAGCCTGGGCAACAAGCGATACCCCCTAGGCATCTCTGCAAAAAAATAAAAAATCAGCCAGGCATAATGGCATCCACCTACTGTAGTCCCAGCTACTCTGGAGGCTCAGGCAGAAGGATAACTTGAGCCCAGCCTGGGCAACAGAGCAAGACCCTGTCTCTAAAAGTAAAACACATATATTTTTAAATATATATATAGCTTTAAATATTATGTATATTTTAGAGATGCATATTAATAATTAGTGATGAGTTACGCTGTCTGTAATATACTTTTTCAACATGTTGAAGGATTTATTGCTAACCTATTAGATGCGGTAATCAAACTGAGGTTATGTCTCTAAAAATTTTTTTTTATCTTTTAGAGAGACATACTGGAAGAAATAATATGTTTGAGATTTGCTTCAAAATAGTCCAGTGGGGACTTATATATACCCAGATTGGTCCTATACAGGTAACTGTTGAATCTGGTTAATGGGAACATGGAATTTTATTGCACTAGTCTTTCTATTAGGTTTGAAATTTTCCAAAAAAGAAATATGAAAATTTCCATAATAAAAAGTTAAAAAAAAAAAGAGAGAGATAGAAAGAGTGATACTACTACACAAACAACAGAATACTAAACTTAAAACTAAAAGTGCCAAGTGTTGGCAAGGATGTGAAACAACTAAAACTCTCATATACTGTTGGGAGCAAAAATTGGTGCATCCACTTTGGGAAACTATAGGTCAGTATCTAGTACTGGTAAGTTGAACATGAGTATACCCTATGATCCTGCAATTCTACTCCTTGATACACTTTAATAGAAATGCATGCATATGTGCACCAAAAAATGTTGATAGCAGTATTGTAATAGCAAAAAAAAAAAAAAAAAGGGCAACAAAACAAATGTCAACCAATAGCAGAACAGATAAACAAACTGTGGTATGTTTGTATAGTGGAACAATGTATAACAATGAAAATAAACGAACTACAATAACAGGTAATAACATCAATTAATCTTGCCATGTGGAACAAAAGAACCCAGACATAGAAGAGTACATGCTGTACTTTCCACTTACATAGGCTTTAAAAACAAGCAAAACTAATCTATAGTGTTAGAAATTGATATATTTATTACCTGTGGGGACAAGGGATGGGATTAGACTTAAGAAGGGACATGAGGTGAGCTCCAGGATGCTAATCATATTCTATTCTTGATCTGTGGGGTGGTAAGGAATACCCTTAGGTCTTGTGCATTTTTCTGTTTTACTTCTTTAAAAAAGTGAAAAAATAAAATACTTAAAAAAAATGAAGCAAATGTGAACACATTTTCTGTAAGTCTTCTGTTAAAAATTATTAATAAAAAGTCAAAATAAAATAAAATTATGATGGGGTTGGGGGAACAAGACAACTCTTTGTCCTAAACCTACATGTTATCAAAGGTATGTTAACTACAAAAATCTAGATAATTGTACTATATAGTTTGCATTAGATTCATTTTTCCTAATATAGAAAGGGTTGGAAACAAATCAAATCCACTAATACCATAACCTCTGTCACAAGAAATTCTGTAATCATTACTGTTCATGTCACACCCTACACACATACATATATCTTGGATCAAACATTATTCAGTCAAAATAAAGTGAATCTCTAGGTTGGGATGCTAAAAAATAAATAAAAAATAAAGGGCAAAGGTTTTCAGAGCGTATGGTAGCTACCTAAAAAGATAAATGCTACTTTAACCTCATTATTTTAACCTATTAACATGGCATTTAATATGAAAGGCTTGCCCTAAAGGCTTTTGGCTACTTTGTTTTTATTCTTTCAATTTCAAGTTATTAGATTAGTCAGGTTGATAAAGAGCAACCATGTATTTGTAATTGTAAATATTGGGATATTAGAAATTAATTAAATATAATTATTCTAATTTTAAAACTTACATTATGCTTTTTTAAATTAGTAGGAAACAAGAAAGAATATCTTACCTTTCCAACAAATGGAACTAGATGATGTTCACACATGGAAAACATATCTATGTCCTTCACAATCACCATCTCATCATGATCCTCATCAAATATAGCATCATTTAGGACATCTGAAATCAGAGGCTTGTTTTAGTAACATTTCCAATTTTATAGAAAGATACAAAGTAGAAAAGCTAACATGGGTAAATATGAATAGACAGTCAACATAAAAAAGAATGTTAATCCTACCTAAAATACTAAGAGAATACAAATTAAAACTAGTTATTTTTCTCTATCAAAGTAGCACAGTCTTTTTCTTTAAATAATATGTTTAAAATCCTTGATATAATGTTACATGAAAAATTCAGGATTACAAATATATACACAGGATGAGGGAGAAGGAGAGAGGGAGAAATTATGCCAAAATAAAACAGTGGCTATTTCTGGTGGTAGAAATGGATTACTTTCACTTTCTTCCTTACATTTGCTTATATTTAATATTTTCTCCATAATGGATATATAGAAAACTACAGCTAAGAGCCAGATCTAGATCATCTGAACCACGTCTAAGATGCATATTAATAGCTAGTGTGGGTAAGAAAATATTTTAGAGTGGCTGGGTGTGGTGACTCATGCCTATAATCCCAGCAC